CTATCCATCTACCAGTTTCAATTGGTAATCTATGATTACCAGTTCTAAATCTACAAAATATAACCCTATCTCTATCTGGTAATATATCTAAATATTTTTCGAATTCAAACTTATCCTTATATAATCTGTACGATAAACCTTTTGACGAATTACATATATCTGAACGCCAGTTTTGTTGAAATTGGTCAAATAACTTCTGTTTTAAACTATTATCTAGCCATTTTGTGCTAAAGCCAGTTTGTGCTAACCAGATATTACTATAGCCATATGTATCAAGAATATTTTTTATAAAAATAACCCATTCAGACGTACAATTATTTTGTGAATATTTAAAAAACATAAAGTTTTACAAAATGTGTGACAACTTATTTTCTTTGCCGTGAACAATTCTAAACCAATAATTTACCATACGCAGTTTAATGTAGACTGCCATGGGATAGACACCAAGTTCGCCATAAACCATAAAGTTTGCGGTCGACTTCTTCAAATTCAGTAGTAGCTTGCAAAATTTCAAATGTACTCTCTCTATAATATCTATATTACTGAACCCCAAAATTTCACACCCATAAAGTATATATAATAGGCTTCACTATCTTATCGAACAAATCATACTGACATCTCACAGAAAGGTTATGAACTCTCCCCTTTTTAAGTACATCGTACATGGCTCGATATGCCTTAGTAACTAATATCTTTTTAGTACTTGCAAAGCTACCTGTCCTTGAAAAAGTCAATCCCAAATATGGAATTTCTTTGACAACTTCTAATTCAATATTATTAAAATAAAAATGAGGATTTTGCGATAAACGTCCACTAGAAAAAAATCATAATTTTCGTTTTACTAGAATTTACACTAAGTTTCCAAAGCTTACAATATTCACTAAATGTATTAAGTTGAGACTGAAGAGATTCAACTGATTCAGCAAAGACTAATGTACATATGTCCATGTTTTGAATCATTATTATTCTTTAAGAATTATACGTATGGGAATCTATTTCTTTTTTTTTCTATATAGATTATCAACTATATCTTTTATTACCATATAGCATATAAGTGAGGTTAAGCGATCTGTGTAAAGTTCTTTATTGCCAAGTTTTAGATATCTTAAATGATCCGTATGGAGGTGCTCTTAATTGCAGGAAGCTAATACAGATAAGAAATATAAATGTTCCGAATGAACAATAATTAGGGTTCCGAATATTCCTCCATAGGCTATATTTCTAACTAATTAATATGCGTGAACCCCTGAGGGTTCACGCAATAATATGTGGGGTTTACATAAATCATATCAGACTGATATCAAAGGGAAGTAACTCAACGAACGTAAATCAAAGTACGTAAAGTACTATATAAGAATAATGTTACAAGTGGTTTTGTAACACTTTTTTTAAACATCTGTGCTGCCTGCTGATGAGTCCTGAGTGTAAATGATCATTCACTTATACATAATATACCGGTAATGTTCCTAAGTATAGATTATATTTTTAATCCTTTTGTCCTTCAATTCTGTTCATATCTAAAAGAATTTTAATCAGTTTGTAGGAGTTATGAGCATCTGTATTGGAATCTGCCATATCTGGTATATTATCGTTACTATCAAACCATAATATATCTTTAATTTCCACATTTAAACAAAAACATTTATTAATGATCATGATGATACTGGGAACATCCTGAACAATTTTTTAGTTTTTTTGTGGACAAACCCAAGTAAGAAATGACCACCTCAAAGGAACTTAAATAGAACCATACAAATATTACATGCATGCACGTTCTTGGACACCATCTCCCATACTACAATCACATCATGCAGAAATGCACCTCATGTGGTCCTCTTCTAATTTTGAGTTTTTTGCTGCTATCAAAAATCAAATTTTGAAACTTGTTTTATTGCAATAATTTGGCAATCCTTCTAATCTTTTGCTTCTTTACGTAAATCTCTCCAGCGTAAGAGCACACTCAGCTAGCTGTGTTCCCTTAACAGATCATTTTTAAAAATGTTAATCTATTCACATAGAAGTTATTTCAAAGTTAAAATATGTTGAAAGGAAATTCTCCAATGTAACGTTGCACATGCACAAAATTTAGTTACAGGAATGTACATATTATTTACAGGAAGCACTCATAGTGTAAAGCAAAATTCTATCCGGGTGAAAAATCATCCACCTGAAAAAATGTTACAGATCATGTTATAAGTTTTTTTCAGGAGGAACATATTTCACTGTACTGGTAGGGGGTTCAGGGGACAAAGCCCCCCCCCCCCCGACGGAAAACGGGTTTCAGCATTTTTAGTTGCAAAATTTTGTGTACAAAAATCATAAAATTTACTGGTCATTTTATCATGATAATATACATGAAGAAAAGTTCGAAGAATTGTATATAATTTTACAATAACATCTGACTGTTGAATTAACGCAGTACAATCGGAAATCTATTTTTTTTTTATTTACAATATGCATTGCCCAGCGTAGATCAGCGTAGCCCTTTAATTAAGCAGTACCTGTTTAGTATTTTCATATATATTCCTTTCTGATTGAGGATAATTGATATATACGTCAATTGATAGTACATATTGACGATCCTTCATTAAAAAATAGGCACGGAAACACTGAGACTACTATATAATAATACTTTCCTTTCGGCTAGGCATCGGCCATTCATCTTTTGATTCTTAAACCTTCACCCTCCCCGGCCACACAAACACATACACACACAGTCGATCATATATATGCCTAATGCAAAAGATCTGTTCTGTTCATACTAACTAACAAAATGCAAGAAATTCATATTTTCTGATATCCTGTACTGTAAAATCCCTATCTGCTTAGGAATTTGAATAATTACGGTCATTACACGTAGATCTGAGAGTACTTGAAGTTACTGAAAGCTAGTTGATTGATTGACTGATTGCTAAACGTCTAGTGGCAAATAGTTCATGCATTGTTCAGGACAAAAACAAATTTACAATAGGTAGGTCCTGTAATAGGGGTCGTCCAGGATGAAGGTCTGAAAATTTGGAAATGCCATTGGAAAATGAGGGTTATTGAATAAGGACAGAAATTTTGCCTTTCAGCAGACCACACACGGACCTCTCAAAGAGTTGTTGCGAGTGTTCTTAACGTACAGAGAGCGTGGCATTCTCTCTATACTAGGCATCGGATTTAACGTCCCCATTCCGACCAGACGTGCCTGCGTATTTTTACATTCCGTACAGTCAAACGGACGCCCCACTTTGGCAAGGGTTTTATTGTAGGTCGAATGAAGACCAAGCGGAAAGCTAGTTTAACGCCAACAACAATTAATAAAAAAAAATCATGTATTTAATAATTAAATGTCAGGGTTTTGAGGATGTTGAGGTTCAGTCAAGTATTTGTTGATATAAGTATAATGATCTGAACCAAAAGTCCTAGTTTTTAGTTTCTATATAAGGTGAAATATAATGTACATACAATTCTATTCAATACTCCATCCACTAAGGATGATAGACTAGTGTACAAAAGACATTTGATAATCAAAGAGTTTTGACGACTTCACGTGCATCTACAGATAACATTGTCATTATTTTTTTAATAAAAAAAATATTTGTGAAAAAAATTATGTGTAGGCACGTGCCTAAAGTGCGTAACGGTAGCTACGCCCCTGTTGCATTTCTATAGTAAACAGCAATAGAGGAATCTTAGTATGTTTATAATATATTTCTATTGTCTAAATACACAAGAATATCGCGTTGGAATTGTTGATAATGAGACAAAATCAGATTATTCATAACACATTTTTTTTTTCATTAAAGTCATCCTTTTATATGAATTAATATAAAAAATTTAAATCAAGGGAAAATTTCACTATGAAATTGATTCTGAAATATAATTTCTATAAGTTCAAAATTACCTCCCTTTGATTGATAAATTATGCAAATATGTTCTACCTTGGTGACACATTTATCATTATGGTCAGGTATATATTGATTGTGAGTACCTTACATAGTAGACAATGGGATTGTATCTCACAAGCTTCTGTAAAATATAGAACGGAAAAGATATACTGTTAAATACTATCTGTATTAGAGGGATAGAATTTCACTCCACGTACTGGAAAAGCTACCTGTGATATACCATGTCTGGAAAAAATTTACTGTGACAAATTCTCTGCCGGATGAAATATCACAGATGAAGAAATAAACCTTACAATAGCATGTTGGCCAATATGTAGATTTTATATTAAAAGCAATGTCTAGCTTAATAAAATCTATGAACGGTCAGCACTGATTTAAAGTAGTGTCTCCTGCATGACACTCTTGATTGACCTATAATGGTTTACTTTTACCAAGTGTGACTTGAATAGAGAGTTGTCTCATTGGCTCTCATACCACATCTTTTGATAATCTGCGTGTCGTATTGTAACAGGAGGCGGTCGGTGACGACACCTCCTGGGACGTGTAGTGGCCAGTACTTCGTCCTTATTCGACCATCTGGATACCTGATATAAGATTATGGCTGAACAACAGGCAATAAATCAAATGAAAACTATATTTTATTTACAAATGTACAATAATTGCATGTATTTAACAAAGTCGGATGGAACAAGAGTATGAAACTTTCTTAAATGCATTTCAAATATAAAGAAGTTCAAATGTTAATTGAAAATAAAGTATTTCAAATTTAAATCTAAAGTAGTAAGAATATTTGCTTCACGTTGTGTTTAAAAGTGAAAATAATTGCACTAATATGGTATGACTAACTCTTGCAAACTGCACCTAAAGTGGAGGTTTTGGAGGCCCGTGCAAGGCCGACTCCGACTCGGTGTAACTTTTAATATATTGCTTATCTTGTTATTTCTCACGATAACTTTAACAGCGAAGGTATATAAATATTCTTATAACATTATAAAAGCATCAAAAGTTAAATACTAAAACAGTTAAATTTATCATCTTTACTTGTATTTTAATATGTTTGACTCAAATTAAACTTAAAAACTTAAAATAAACATTTAATTAATAAATAATTGATCTGTCAAAATTAAGGGGAATTAACAAGGTAACTTGCCAGAATATTCATCATGTTGAATGTGGGCAGTATTTGGAAGAAGAAGAAGAAGTCACATTCATTACATTTATGCAGAATATCGTCGATCCTTCCTTTTGATCCTGGTTTTACTGTACACTGTACAAAGACTGTGTGATTGAGTTATTGATATAGCACACGTATACCTCCTCAAATGTTCACGAAAAATAAACTCATTATTATTGCGTCTGCGCCATTTTGTAATTTGTTGAGAACTGGTGCAATAACGACCAGGTTAGTTACTTCTTCATGTAGACTTTACACCTATCAAATCATTTACGTCATTGTTGGTTGATAACTAAAAATAGTAACATTGAATTCATTGAAGTCGTTTTTATATGACGGTAAATGTAAGAGATTGATAACCTTTCTTTATTATAAAGTACAAGCGTTAGCTAGTAAACAATGGTATATATACATGATTCCTTGAAAACTTCATAGAATATTAAAATTGTGCAAGGCTCAAATGATCTCTTGATTGATTTGAATCAAGATGATTAGTTACATTGTGAGTGCTCGGATGAGTGTACTGTTATTAATTTATTGCATGACTTCTTTATTCATGTTATAAGTCATTTCATTTATGGATTCGTCCTAGTTATGTAAAGACTTACTTATATTTTGGAAAATTTTAATAAATAGTGTTTTAGTTTTTGTTTATTTACATGTAGTACATGTAACTACGAAAGCCTATTAGGGTCACAAAAAAAATGTTTTTATCTCGTAATTACGAGAAAACTATCGCGTAATTACGCGAAAATTATCTCGTAATTACGCGATAATTATCGCGTAATTACGAGATAATCATTGTTTTATCTCGTAATTACGAAATAATCATAGTTTTATCTCGTAATTACTCGATAATTATCTCGTAATTACGAGATAAAAAATGATTATTTCGTAATTACACGATAGTTTTCTCGTAATTACGCGATAATTATCTCGTAATTACGCGATAGTTTTCTCGTAATTACGAGATATTTATCTCGTAATTACGAGATAATTATTTTTTTTTTTGTGACCCTTATAGGCTTTCGTATGTAACAGGTCAATTTTAATAAATTTAAAAAGCGAGTTACAACTAAATTGTATTCCACAGCTTGTTATACAATTTATATGAAATTCAAAAGTTGCTTTAATTGTTTTGATTGTTTCGGTTTATTGAAAATGACTAGTTTTACTAATTGCGGATACAGTAATTTGAGTTTGGTAGGATTATGAGCTAACGAAGTAGGTTAAATTTAATAAAAAAAAGTTGGGGTTTTTTTTCTTCTTTTTGGCATATTGCTTTGGTATTGCTAATTTTTTTGTAATTTTGAAGTTTTAAATATTCTTCGGACTGTTGTTATCGAAAAAGAGTAGCGAACGATAATATTGTTTGTATTTGTTTCTCCAAAATTTGATTTTCAGAGGCGAAATTATATTCATTTAAGGGAGCGCGAGCGCACTACCTTTTATATTATTTTGTTTTAAACAAAATTATCTGAAAGAATGATATTCAAGCGGGCAACATTTTTTTTAGTTTATTGAAGGATTTTTTCAAGAGAGTCACAAAATTTGTACATATCCTGCAACTATACATATGTATGTACAATTATATTATCTTCCATAGATGAAAGGCTTGTGGTCTATACAACAGTCACCATATAGAAAACTGATGTATTAAAAATGATACGTTTTATGTTATTTTAATGTTCATTTATAGCAGGAAATGCAAAATATGGGCGAAGAACACCAAACAAATTGATATGAGTATAGATAAACGAGTGCACTTATAAAAGTTTCAAGGCATGGCAGGAACTTAGGAAATAATATGTAATGCATTTTTTATCGATCAGAAAATTAAACACTTACCTGGAATTTGAGATTCCTTTATTTATGACTGTGAAAGATGATAGAATAAACTTTTACCTGAATTTCATTTGATACTCTCCATTGCAAATGCACAGTTTAAATTACCGACAGTTGTGCAGATATCTATTGTCCTTCTATTATCAAATCAATCAATACGTACTAGATACAAAATAAAGGTACTCATGCAGACAAAAAAATATACGACAACGATTGTTACTCAGCTTTTCTATTCCGGTTATTTGGTTTTGGTTACCTTTATATACGGCAACGATTTTGATACAAAACAAAGATAAAAAAAACAAGCCGATTACAACCGTTGCCATATAAATTTTCTTCTCGAGTAGTCAATTTTCCTTGTACGAATTTGCCCTCCCCCCCCCCCCCCCCCCCCCCCCCATCAGCAGAGCTATAGAAAAACAGTAAATTAATTGGTGTTACACGAACATCATATGATTAAAATACAGTCAAGTGCTCTCGACCAATGAAATTGTAGATTTGATGTCCCTTAATTGTGAAGAAGGAAATCCATATATGTATATATCATTTTCGAATACGAATACGAATATTTTTATTCTCATAAACATACGTAGTTACAGAGAAATTAGTTTACAATTATAATACAATAATAGTGCATGCGTAAATAAATATGGAAAAAGACAGCTCATTTAATTGTGTATGTTTAACACAATTTAACTAACCAGGAGCATGTATATATCATTTTCGTAGCATGTACCTCAAGTTCTCGTCCATTCAAATTGCTTAAATTTGCCTTCTAAGTGTCATAGTACATCCATTTTCTGTGTAGTAAATAACCATGCAAGGGTAATATTTCATTGTATCGTAACCAAGATGTTAAAGACAAAAATTGTCACTGGTTATTTTGAAATAAAATGCTGTGTCCAAAATAAAACAAAAGTGTTTGTAAATAGTTTCCACATTGATTTTTATATGTCCTAATGTTCAAATCTTTAAATTGGTTTAAAAAATCTTTTGACAGTTGCAAGTTTCAATCATTTAAATAAAGATCCTAAATAATAACACCTTGATTAGAGTACAACGCTATTTAATGATTGTGGTAATTTATCATCCATCATGCAAGCAATTACATTGTGCACCAACAAGTTTGTACTATTAAGGTCCGTGTAACACTTATCAATTCAAAATTTTTAAAACTTATCAAAGTTTTTTTTGGAATTTGATCAAAATTTTAAAATATCAAATTTCCAAATTTTTGAAATTTTGAGATTTTCACCAAATAATTATAATATTAAAACTATAAAAATCATTTTAAACCATGATAGTTTAGATATTTGATCAAACTTTAAAAGTACAAAATCTTAACGTGCAGCTTATTCGGTTTTTGATTTTTTGATTTTTTGATTTAAAAAATTTTTTTTTTTTAGATATTTAAAAAAATATAGTATGATATCGTGGGATTCAGACTCGAAAGCAATTTATGCGTTATTGAAAATTTTATTCGACGTTTATCTGCTGTCGTTTAATTTTAAAAGAGTTTTACGTTGTAATGAGAAGGAAACATTTTTTTAACATTAATTATGAAGGTAATTAAGGGAGCAACCATTAAATTGGGGATCATAATATTTTTTTTAGGAAAAAACCATAGCCCCACCCCCTGAAGTTAAATGTTCGTTCCCTTGTAATGGAAAAATATCAGTCGATTGATTGCAATGGTTGCATGTTGGAAGCATGTAAGGTCCAGGGACAACTATTTGAAGCATGGTCAATTCACGGAGAATCCCACGGCAATAATTCGTTTAAATGTAAAACCTAGTACACCGAAACGCTTCCACAGAAGGACAAATGCCCCAATGTGAATGTACTAATTTTCTGGAAATCTGATATAGTATCACAACACTATTTGATTGACATATAGAAAAGTACAGTAAAGTCTTATTTGTCAGCATTTAACATTTGAAATGTATCAGAGCCCATTAATGTTACAAATCATATATAAATTCAGCGTTTATAGCGGGCAGCAGCTGTGTAAAACAAATACCAACAACCTCCCACTTTCGAGCTCGATGCTACCACAACGTTCATTGCGACACTATTATTCCTACCGTACGACGCGCTTTTCTGGATTTCCAACAACAAATGGAAGTTTTAAACGACCTTGAATGGCTATACAGCCCTTGTACGGTCGGTAAAATCTTCTGAAGTTAAATGATTTATAAGAACCGAAATACATGCAGTTGATTAATATACAATATTAGGTCAATGTCAGGAAAAAATAAACTTGTTTGTATGAGGCTGAGAAACTGGAAAAGGGCGAGGTTTTACAAAAAAGCTTATATTTGCATGACATTGACCTAATATTGTTTTTATACTGCAACTTAAATTAATACATTTATAGCTATTTGAATTGGAACACAAATTTCAAACTTAATTTCATCCCTTACTGAACCCCTGATTGTCAAGAAATTGTTCCATGATGAAATTTTATATTTTACGACAGTGTACGTATATTGTGTTTATCCTGAAATTACTCCCAACACTTGTAAATTTAGTTATTAAAATCTAAATCATTGTCTCTAATTTCTCAAAATATAGCTGTGTTATTATATTTAGGAAATATACTAGTTGCAGTATAAAAGGTTTTATTATACTTGAATTTTCATATTCTATATAAAAAAAGTACACATTATTTTCACTATTTTTCAAATTGCAAGCGTTGAATTATTTGACTGGCCAATAGTTTATAACTATTGGACCTCGTGAAACTATTTGACCGCAAGCGTCATTATATTTTGCGGAATTTCAAATGCAGCTACGGGATTGGATAATGTTGAGAATACCGCGGGAGTTACGACGTTGCGTTTACCTATTGTATCAAGGGTTGACGTCAGTAAGGGATTGGATAATGTTGAGAATACCGCGGGAGTTAAGACGTCGCGTTTACCTATTGTATCAAGGGTTGACGTCAGTGCGGGACGTAGCCTTAGCATTCAGAATATATATATATACGTGAAACAGTATGGTTGTGTCTCTGCTTTTTATATTACGATAGTTGATTTAGTCTGACATTTATTGTCTGTTGTCTCTTTCGGTATAATAAATATACAATATATGTATGTTGTCGGAAAACATAAAATTTATTTGTATGAGCTTTAGAAACAGGACGAAAAGCGAGGCTCCGCCGAGCATTTCTCCTGTTTCGTAGCGAGTACAAATAAATTTTATATTTTACGACAATGTACATATATTGTGTTTATCCTGAAATTACTCCCAACACTTGTAAATTTAGTTATTAAAATCTAGATCATTGTCTCTAATTTCTCAAAGAAATCGACATATTTGAAACGCGGACCGCGTTGAGGACCCAAAAATGAACTGGTTAGGAAACAGAAATATTCATATTA